AGTCTCAGAGGTCAGGTGGATCTCATACAAACTGGTAAGTGTGCAATATTGAATTAGGGTCTATTTTGCCGGTGTGACGGATGGTTAGGTCAGAAAACAGGAAATGAGTCACAATGATAGATGATGTTGAGGACAGGATGTGGGTGTGTGATAATGTAATGCGCTGATAGATGTTTGATCATCTTAAGTTTGTTGCAATGACACTGAAGATGCGACACCTGCTATGGTCTTATTTGATAAAGCTTCATATTATATTTAAGCCTAATCGTTTAAAAAAGACGACAAGACATTTTTTTTAAATGTTAAAATGTTGTCTGGCAGTCTGAGATTGTCATGCTTTGCAGCAATCATTAAGTCATATGCAGACAGTTTCTCAACTCTTAATCTCATGTTTTTTTGCTCTTCTGTTCTGCTATTGGTCCAATTATCGATCGATATTGAAAATGTAGTATTCACAGATAAGCCTTTCTTTGACCAATGAACTGCTTTTGTATACCCTGTTTTGATGTGTTTCATCACCTCTTGTGTTCTCAGGTTGTAGAGATCCTCCAGAAGCTGTATGCATGTGGGGCCGATGATCTGGGCCTGAACTTCATCAACGAACTCACCGTCAGGTTCTGCCACTGTCCCAAGTGGGTCGGGCGGCAAGCCTTTGCCTTCATCTGCCAGGTATGAAGCTCTTATCTCGCATTACATTACGCAGCTACAAATGGTGGCATCTTCTTCATAGTGTCATTACCTGTTTTTCAACTCCATAAATAGCTGTCAAGGTCAGACTGCTTATCTGATGGTCATCCGAGCTACAGAAGGAAATGGCAAAACAAATGTTCACCCCGTTTATTGTCTCGAACATTCTAATCATAATTTTCTTCACTAAAAACTTACTTTAAAAGACATGCGTTATGCGTATAAAAATGTCATAAGTAAATTAAATGTATAAAAACACGACACCGGCTGTTTTATTTGAATGTATTGTTTACGTTAGAAAAGCTAATGAAAGATGAGAACTCTAGCTATGTATTACAGTAATGATATAGTGGGAAACGTGTAGTTCATGAAGCTGTTTATCAGCATGTCTCTGTCACAGGAGCAGACTGATCAAAAGGATTTCATCAGACTGGTTTATCTTCACCAAACGCCTCTGCACTCTCTCTTCCTGTGTTTCGCTCGCCTCCTTTAACGGCAGCCTGTCTGTGTGACTGTTTTTTAATGTGACCTCCTTTTTATGCAGGCCATAGTGGAGGAGGACTGCATGCCCATGGAGCAGTTTGGCCAGCACCTGCTGCCCAGTCTGCTCAGCCTCTCCTCTGACCCGGTGGCCAATGTCCGCGTCCTGGTAGCCAAGGCTCTACGACAGAGCGTCATGGAGAAAGGTCAGTGCAAATAAACGGAATAATTCATCTTTTCAGGATAAGGAGTCAACAATTCAGTTCAGACCAAAAGGGACAATACGTTACTGTGTTTCAATATTTTTCCATCTTCCCATCAACTGACTCTTAACTAACACCTCTTTCTGTTGACACATCCCATGCCTTTTACTTAAAGGTCCCCTATTATACGGTTTTTCATCAATATATTATAGGTCTCAGATAAATACAAAACATGTCTCTGAAGTGTTTGGCTCCAAATACCAAACAGATTGTAGCATCCCATAATCCCCTCTGTTTCAGCCCTGTTTCAAAAGTGCTGATTCTCTCCTGGCTCCTTTAGATGAAAATAAGTAGCCACTCCCCCAAGCCCCTCTTGCCCCTTTCACACCGGCGCTTTTTCAGCTGGAGCCTGAAAAGTACCGGTTTTTCCTGTTCACACCGCAGCGGCGCCGCGTCATAGCTCCGGAATGCGGTTCACTTCCAGCTCCAAAAGATTGTCGGTCTAGAGGCAAGAGCTTCGGAGCTAGAGGCGGCGTCCCACCTCCCCTGAACATGGGTCGACTGAAGAGTCTCGTCATGCCTGCCTACAAGCAGTAGCGCTGAGTAAAGTGACTAGAAGGCACACACTTATAAAAAAAAAAAAACACTTTATAAAGTCAGGCAACACTAACCAGGCTTCGTGTGATTCTGTTTATTTGTACCTTACTTTGACCATCCGTTCGCTGTTATTGATCATTGTGGAGAGCAGGCAGACGTTTTGTTTTGTATTATAGCAGCTATCGGATGGAATCAATACATGGGCTGCACAGGTTGTCATGTCCGACTATCACAAGTAGAATCATAATGAAAAATACGCCGGTAAAAAGTGCCTGTAGAAAACGGCTTAGCAAGTAGTCAGTTTAGCTTCGGTTGCTATGCTAACATCACCCATGTTATACCAGAGAAACTTTCATAACAGAGTTGTGATGCCAAACAGCGTCAATTCAGACTGACACACATTCACTTAAGGGGAACTGGGGATATGTATCAGCTGCTTGTGTGACAGTCAGACAGTGAATACTTTAGAGCCGTGTGAGCTAACCCGGAGCTAACGGGAGAATACACTCCCGTGGAAGAGCAGTCAGCACTGCAGCGGTCGGTAAATGCCGCTGAAACACATTAATAAACAATGAACCACGGCACTCTGGAGAAAAGTATAAGGTTGGAGAAGTCGTTATTTAATTTAATCTGTCTTCGTATGATTAAAAGCAACACGATCATCGACCCGACGCAGTCCCCCCCTGTTGTTGTTGTGAGCTCCGTTGGGGAGAAAATCAGCGATGTAAACGTGACGTAATGACGCAGCAGCGGCAGCTGGGCGGTGTGAACAGAGCGGGAGCTGAAAAGGGAAACCGGAGCTGAACCAGAAAAGCTCTAGCTAGGAGCTAGAAAGGGAAAAGCGCTGGTGTGAAAGCCACATCTGAGAGATATTTGGTTAAAAAGAACACACTGGTGCTCTAGGAGGAGATTCAGGTGATAAGGTGGGGGGGGTGGGGTTAGGGTTGGTGATTGGCTAATGGTTACACAAGCCAAAAAAATCGTTATGACATCATAAAGTGGCCAAAATCTGATCAGCTCATTTTCAGACAGGTTTTTATATAAATGGATCAGGACAAAAAGAGAATTTTTTTTCCTGATACTTTCAGAATCTCTTTATGTAGAAAATGACATGAAAAAGTGGATTTTGCATTTACCTTTTAAGCTAACTGAGTCTTGTGTTTTGTGTGCAGCTTACTTCAAGGAGCCGGGCTGTGCCTTCTCTGACGAGCTGGAGGAGACGGTGATGGCTCTGCAGTCGGACAAGGACCGGGACGTGCGCTTCTTCGCCAGCCTGGACCCGAACAAAGGCCTGATGGAGACGGCTCCCCTGATTTAGCCTCAGCCTCCGAGTCCCATCGCAGCCCACCTGCCTGTCTACCTACCTGTCTGTCTGACTGATGCACAGTCGGCATAAAACCTGCAACACCAGCACCTGACCAGATCCCCAACCTCTCGCCTGCTGGGCAGACCTGCACCAACACCAGCTGGGAGTCATGTCAGAGGATCAGAGAACAGAATAACACAACCCAGGCCCTGGTTGGGCACTACATAGCGCACATTGCATTCACAACACAAATGCATACTTCTCAGAGTTTTCAGAAAATGAGCAGGACTCAGAGGTTAGCTCCCTTCGTGCGAGCCGCCGTATTCACACATGAACTTTACCCCCACCCTCTTCCACACTAACAGCAACTCAATCCTTCCCCCAATCACAGACTTGTAAAACTACGACGGGCTCTTTCTCTTCAAAGCTAATTGTAAGCTTGATATAAAATTGCTGAATTGATTTTTTTTTTCTTAATGCTTCTTTTTGTGGATTTCTTAACGAACAAGCGGGCGAGGCCTGCCTGACTCTGATGTGTGCACTAACTCAGGGGGACTCATCTGAACCTAAACAGCATTATTAGCTACGTGATAAGCAGCAGGATCCCTGGTGAAAAACAAGACAACTCCAGCTCTCTGAGCAACAGACCAGCCAAACCAAGTAGCTCTGCTGGTGTCTCGCGCCTCATTTCCTCTTAAATATCTCCTCTCTCAGGCGTCCCTTGTCTCCTGAGATGTCCTCTGGGTTATCGTCTGTTTCCCGCCTACTGTCTCCTCTTCACCTGCATTTCTCTACCCTCTGGTCTTCAGGGGCCACTGAACCACTACTGCACAGAAGGAGCGGGGATTCTGTCACTCAGCGTAACTCTCCATTAAAACCATATCATGACATTTTTTGAAAGTTAATAAACTGTTGATGGCTCTTTCCCCCTCCTCCCCTCCTCGTGTGTTTTACCAAAAATGTGACACAACGCGTCTCCCAAACGGCAGGGGACCAATAGAAATACCTCTGTGTGGACACGGCTGGCCAGTGTGGCGTACATGTAGAGGGACATCACACGGGCTCTGAATGTCCTCGTCTGAAACATCTTAACAAGGGCTCATGACGGAGTGACACGGGGTGACTCAAATCTCAGAAAGAAGAGGAAGAAAGCAAGCACACTGTTGGATTATGCATGTTTCCCCCTCCCCTCAGCACCCCCCCCTCCACCTTCCTCTTGTGTATAGTCTCTTCCAATTCCTTAAAGTTGACCTCCTGATGTTGAATTTTGTGACCATGGTAGCTTTCAGTGGATCTGACTGACCAGTTGTACAGTAGGATATAGGAATGGCTGTGTGACGAGACTGACTCATCATCTTTCCCCGTTTTTCTTGGTGAAATGATTTTAAGTACATGGTCTCTCAACATTTTGCAACTCTTTTGTACAGCTTAAACCTGTGGAAAAAACGGTTTGCGTGTATGGAACCAAGGCCAGTTTAGTCGAGATGTGTGTGAATATTGGGAGCAGTCACCAAGTCACTTTTTGTAGTCTCTCGAGCTCGTTTGTTCTCCTCTGTTGTAAATGGTAACCCTTGTTTTTTTTTTTGAACATAGACATAACTTGAGAACTTAAAGCTGATTGTGGTGTGTGCTGTGCATCTCAAGTCTTTCTTCCTTCGAAAGGAGAGCTCACCGCGGTAATGGCGGTGTCTACTCATCTCGTCTGTCTGCGATTTGTGTCCATCTCATTTTTTATGTAGTAGAACAGTTAATATATACATTTTATGAAAATTATTTTTCTTTTCAATTATGCACCACTGTTCAAAGATTTTATATCCTAACTTTACAAAATTTACAACCTTTGTAATATTCAATGGTTTCTTTTAAAAAGACATTTTATGTAATGTTATTTTTAGTATTCTGTAATTAAAATGATGAAAATGAATGTCTGATTATGTTTTGTAGTTCCTGCTTTATTACTTGCGCCACAGAGTTTCATGTATTGAGTTTGGTTTGTTTTTCAGCAGCTTTACAGAAAACCTACTGGCCTGATTTTCATGAGACTGAAAGGAACCAAGGAAAACCTCATTTAGCTTTGGAGCGGATCCAGATCACGTGGTGGATACACTATTTTTCTCTAACATTGCAGGGCGATCTGTGTTTGAGTGCACCACCCTGTTCGGTCAGATGATCCAGAAATATGTAGCTGCTTTTTAATTTAATGTGTAAAGTTATATTTGTATACCTACACACGTATTATAGTATACCAAGTTGATCTGGAACATATTTCAGTTAAATGAATTCATATCAACATTGAGGCAGATGAAATAAAAACATAATTATAAATTAATCACAAAACATCTATGTATTTTGAGGTTTTAACCACAAATATCCCAGATTTCTTTATCTATCTGAAATAATAGTTGGAATGATAATACAAATAAAAAAAATGTAAATGTTTAAGATTAAATGTATTTGTACCCATACATTCCATGTATTCTCTTATCCCAGCTTATTCAGTTTGAGGATTTGCTGCTTTTCTGTTCTATATATTTCTGTAAACTGAATATCTTAAGGATTTGGCCGGATCAAACAAGGTATTTAAAAATGTTAAGACATTGTTTACAGTTTTCTGATGTTTCTATAGACCAAATATGAAAAGAAAGTCATCTGAAGATAAACCAAAAATGTAAATAGATTGCAGCCCTCATTTTTTTTATAGTTCAGTCGACAAATATATGAAGAATGTCACTCAGCAGTTGCCAGAGCAGAGTTGCATTTTCAATTAGCTTGTTTCTCCCAACCAAGAAAACAAAAATACTCAGTTTACTGTCATTGAGGACAAACAAACGGTAATCGTCAAATCGTCCAGAAATTGTTAGGCATTTCTTAAAGTGATTTAACAATAAACCTTTATAATCATTGCAGATTAACAATTGAACTTGAATCCTTCCCATTCCATGAAATGTTTGTTTTTGGTCTTCCTGATCATATACCTGCAGCCCTTGTGCAGCAGATAAAAAAAGTCTCATCTCCTTTTGAAGAGCAGCAGCTTTCTGTCCCAGGTGGTGCTGCCGAAGCTCTGGATGAGCTCCATGCCACAGTGTCTCTCCAGATGCTCCCTGGCCTGTTCTGCTACGTCCCCGCGGATCTTCAGGCTCTTGAAGTGGTCAAAGTCTGAGCGGCCCAGCTTCCTCAGCCTCCGGGCTGCAGAGCGGTAGCACTTCCAGGGCTGAGCCTCCAGCAGGAGGTGCTGGCTGATGGAGGCCAGGTGGGAGAGTAGCTGCAGCAGGCCGGCGTCTCCGTGGTTCAGGTGCACCCACATGGTGACGGCCAGGCACAGACACAGGTGGAAGTGGGAGCCGCCGTGCTGGTTGAGGTAATCCTGCAGCTGGTCGGCGTCTTTAGTGATGTCCAGAGGGATGAAGGAGATGCTGCTGGGCAGAGGGTTGCTCTGCTGAGCCCGCTGGATGAGAGTCTCATCCAAGTCGAAGCCCAGGAGATTAACTTTCCTCCTGTCTGACTCTTCTTCAGACACAGGCACCAGATGTTTGTAGAAGGCCACACTCAGATCCTGTCATTCACAGGGGAAGAAAAAGGAGAAACAAATAATGTAAAATGTGGATTCAACTTCATTTCAAATTATATTCAGAGTATCAACATGATTCCCAAAGATGCGATGATGCTGTTCTGGATTACCATATACATCAGAGGCACTTGGTACAAAAACATAACATTACTTTGAACTTTTACTCAAGTAACAGGAGCAACAATACAATGTAAAAATACACTGTCATGCATTTAAAATCTTATCTTACTGTCCAACAAAGAACATGAGTATTAGCGTCGAAATACAACTAAAGTACCATAAGCTACATTATAAGGAATGGCTGATTTATGTGGGGTTTATATCAATATCTGTATACAATGTTGGGAGATTCATCCATAAAAATACAATATAACTTATCATATTCTATTTTGAATTAAAAACCTGAATCTGTAAAGTGAATTAATGTTGTCAAAAGAAATTGTGAAGTAAAAAGTACAATCTTTTCATGTGAGATGTAGAAGAATATAAGTATAAATAGCATACATTGGTACAATTACAAGTAAGTACCTCAACACTTACCTTTTATAGGGACAGTTTGTGTATTAAAATGAGTTTTCATTATAGGATCAGTCTACCTTCACATTTATTTAAAAAAAGACATGAAATACTGTGACTTTTTATTGAATACTATATTATGATTTATTTTATTATTTCTAAAATGCCTATTATACTATGACTTTTTTTGGAGAGACAAAGACTATGACAGAGACATTTTTAATGACATACTATACCATAATTGTTTTTATGGAAACTTAATGAATGCTGTACTTTGACTTTTAATATGTTTCACATAGTTTATGTTATACTATGAATTATTGTAATGGCATACAAATGTATGAATTGTAAACAGACTAGGAGTAGAACATGTTGTGTAATGTTGTCTCAACATGTGATGAATCCCAATCTATTTCAAGAATTACATTATATAAAGAATATTCCAGACCAAACGGTTAAACACACATGTGAAGAGTCTCATACCCCAGAGTTACAGCCCACGTCCAGGATCAGTGTGTTCTGAGGGCCGTCTTTGAGGCCTAAATCCTGCAGTAACGTGGCGGGAATCAGGCTCAGACGGTTCTCCGGAGGATTGAATGTGTAATAGTTGATAAAGTTGCCATAAGGAGCGGCTCCTGGGTCATTCATTTCTTCAACTTCAGCTATATCTACCGAGCATGTTGCCATCGTAAAGAGTGCGCCTTCAAAATACGTCCGGGTAGAAAACATGAGGCTGCAGTCATATAAAAACGTTCCTGCTTCGTTTGTGAAAACACCAAAACACCAATATAATACCTCATGGAGGCATTTCAATTTCCATGGTGTAGATACATGTTAATAAAAAGAGAGAGCAGCTGTGTCAGATATTTGAAAGTCTTTAATACGTTTAATGATTTTTTATTACAGATTATACTTATTGTATAGGCTAATACAGATTATACTTATTGTATAATGTGTATTACTACATCTTAAAGTGATGACCAATGAAAATAGGTGTTTTAAAGAGTAGTAATACAAAGCTTCATTGATTTGAAGTCACATGGGACCATTGGAAATATGTGAGACTTAATAAAGAAAACAACTCCTGCCTTTTCTCAACACTGTATATAATTAAAAACTAAAACTAAAATCTGTGTCCTACTTGTCCAGTGTTCTTATCCATGGTCCAGTGTAGTAAAAACAATGCTTCATTATATTACATACATGATATGGAAGCTATTGAAAGATATTGAAATTAAATGAGACTTAAGGAAACTTCTTCAAATGGCAAAAACACAAACAAAGTGTTGTTGTTTTTAAATGTATTTATACATAATATATAATGATGTTGTATAAAAGCATTGTTGTAAACGCATTTTCATTATATATTTCCAATGTATTTGATAACATTGTGTCTGCTCCAGGTCAGCAGGGGGCGCTCACAGATTTGCCTGAAGAAGAGAAAAGTCCCCTCAGTCTTTCCGTATCTTACGAAAGCGAAGGTTAGTTAGCTTGGGTGCTAACTTCACATGTCTGTGTGCTGACATTAAGTACAACTGCGACTTCACTACCTGCGATTTTTATCGCTTTCAATACAAAAAGGTAAAATAACATTTCATTAAGTTCTTGCTCTTAGTTCTACGTGTTTTTAAGATGATCAAATAGTGAGCTAACTTGTATAGGAACACAGCTAAACGACCGCTCGCTAGCCTGTAGCGATCAAGGGGAAATGTATGATTCTAGCAAAAGCAACAGTGTTATAAGGTTTAAAGCATATTTAACATAATGGACTGTTAAAAAAACTCCGAATAGTTGAATTTGCTTCACATTATCATCAACTGCTACAGATAGCTTGGTGTGAGCGAGCAGTCTCAATGATATCAGCCTAAATAATCAGCAGTGAGTTTTATTTAAGGTTATAAGAACAAACTCAAAATTACCTGCAAATCTGAGCAAGCTGTGTTTGGCTCAAACATGGCTGTTTTTTTTCAAATAAAAATTAGTTAACAATACAATGATACAAGCTTTTGTTAGTTGTATTTATATACTGATATATACATCTATCAATCAGTACCTACAACTGTCATAAATGTAGTAAGTAGAGGAGAATTCCCCCCTGATATGCTTGGGGTGTAGTAAAAGTATCTTTTGAACATTATCTATAAAAAGGCGGTGTATTGTGCCCCAAGAAAAGTAAACAAAAAGGACCTAAAACGGTCATAGTATGTCACAAAAAAGGTCTGGATATCGCCATTATATCATATTCATGGAATATTTTGTCTATAACAATCCTGTAGAAACAATAAATACCTTGACAACCCTAATGCCCACCCCTGTAGTATTCTACCTGAGTAAAGTCATTTTATATCTCTACTTTCTGTACAGTATTTTGATGCTGAACTTGCTCTGACTTTGTGTCCTTCAGGATCCTCAACATGGTGTCTGGGAAGCGCATCGCCGACTTCGGCTACAGGACGTTTACTGCCTCGATGATGCTGCTGTCGGTGTACGGAGGCTACATGTGTGTGATGCGAGGGTACCGCTTCGTGCAGAAGCAAAAGCAGCTGAAACTGGCAGCAGAAAACCAGGAGGCTCTCCTCAATGAGTGACATGATTCTTGTTTTTGCACATGTGGACATTTCCAATTCCTCCCTTTTCTTTTGGTCCGTCGCTAAATCATGAAGATGTTCATTCTTCTCAGGACATTAAAGTGATTTGTTGTGTGGGTATTGTGCCCTCTCAAGCAAGATGTTGTTTATAAAAATGTCATCAAGCAAGAATATATTGCTTCAAAGGCTTCTGTAAAATCCATGTTGTGAGTGTATCAGAAAAGAGGATGGCTACAATTGTTTGTATTGTAATATATTAAATGCTTTAACCACACAAAGCAATGTTGTATTCATAAACATGACACCATCATGAAAGACATCTTTCAACAACAGAATATATTTGGAAATATTTTTACAAGGCACTCAAGTGAGAATGTGATACGAGACATTTAGTAGTCCTCATACTTGGATTCCTATAAAGGCAGTGGCAAACAATTTCATACACATTTGGTCTGAGAAGTAGTACAAAAAAAACTGGAAATAAACAAGTAACAAAGTAGCTTAACAACATTGTTAAAGGAAGAATCCACAATAAATCGCAGTAGGCAAACTCTTCTCTCGCAAACGCCTCAAGTGTTTACTTCTGTTCACACAAACAGCAGGTGCATATATTTTAAAAGCTGATAAAACCACAGCTATAATAAGTTACTTATACCGTATTACAGTTAATTATATATAAAATACCTGCCGTTACATCACAGATTGAAAATACAACACAATTAGTGTTTTCTGCCCTTTGTGATCCAGTGTGATTTAACCCTTAACTGAAAAATAATCAAGTTCATCTGACCAATAAAACTGGGAGAGAACATTAAAAACCAATCAACATCTGCAGCCAAACTCAGCACAAAACCAATCCCATCATTTGAAAAATAAGGCTATACAAAACACTTGCTTCAACAGATCTCCATAACGTTTCCGCTTTTACATGTCACCTCTGGAGAGGTGTCGTACATTACGAGGCTCTTAGCAGATATCAGTGTATCCATCCTCAGTGTGTGTGTGAATGTGTGTCGGTGTAAGCTTTGAACGTCAAAGACACACAAAGCACTTTATGGGATGAACTGCAGGGGGCTCCCAGCCTCGTGTCACCAGCTGCTGTGGTTCTGCACTCGAGCTTTGGCAGCAGCACAGTGGCCGTTAGTGCCGTTTTCTCCCTTGGGAGAATGAGAGTAAGCCTTCGGACCGTCTGTGGGCGTGTCAGGCTCGTTCTCTGAGCTGCTCTCAATGTCACTGCGGACATCATTGCACACCTAGGAAGCAGATGGAGCAGGAAACAGGATATTATTGTTTTGAGAGAAATAAGCTCAAACTACAGATGTTAATCAAATGAGCTCTAACACAGCTGTCCCACTTAAACTACACTGAATCGCTTAAATTAACAGGAAAGATGGAATCAAGCTGTGTGAAAGGTATTACAGCAGAGGGAGTCAACAGAAACTTACAGCGAGAAAAAGAGACGGTAAAAGGTCTCAAGCGGAGAAAGCAAACGAAGAAGAAGCGAGAGGAGTGGAGAAGGGCTCATTGGACAAAGAAAGATAGGAAGACAGGATATCCCTCTCTCAACCCAGAGGGAGAGGAAACAAACAGCGTCTGCAGAGAGAACGACACAGAGTCAGACACAGCTCAGAGAGAAGTGCAGACGCAGCAAATTCATCACCAAAAAGCCTAATGGGTTCAGGAAATTGATTGATTGATTTTGTGTTCTTTTTGCCCCTCAAAATCAATGTTTTATTTTCCACAGGGTTGGGACATTTGTGTTAATCTTTGCTTAAAATAACGTATGTTATTTTGAATCCTGAAATACATTTATAGCCATTCATTTAGGCCACTTAGAACAAAGTTTGAGCTGCTCAAAACCTAATGAAATTATAGAAACTAAAAAGGTAACAGACAAGTAAGAAGATGTTTGTTTATTTGCAGGTTTTAGTAGCTGGGTATTGATTTGTATGATGTCAAGTCCTTCAGCAGGTCCATACAGTAGCCCACATATTCCCTCAAATAATCGAGAAAATAATGATTTAGTCAACAAAATGTAAAGAAATATTATTTACGTTTCGGAGAGACAAGGGGATATCTTGTAATGTATTGTTATGCAACTATATAACATTAGGCAAAAAAAGAAGCAAATCTTCAAATTGATAGGCTGGAAGTATTGAGTGTCAAAATAGTTGGGCATTAAATATTTTTCTATCAGATCAACGAATGGTTTAATTGTTTTACTTTTACATCATATTACATAACTCTCAGTAATGTGTGTGATGTGACCCACCTTGCCCCTCAGCACGGCTTTGACAGCTATACGGGCTATGAGGTAGGACCAGATGATGTGCAGCACTTGGAGGACGAGCAGTAAGAAGTTGAAGAGCCACCAGGAGGGGTACGGCCCCACTATGGCCCAGCTCTCGAACATAGTGGAGTTCAGGACCCTGGGGCAACAATGAGACAAACAGATGCGTGATCAAGCTGCACGTTAACCATATTATTAACCAGCACTCCCCTAATGAGGCCCTTTATAACAGCACACAATGTAACTCCCATTTGGATGCCATGGCGACCAAGCAGGCGAGTAACATATCTCGAGTGTAGTGTTAGGTGATTGGATGATGAGGTCACGTCTTCCTTTAAATCTGTGTGAGTGACAGGAGGTTGTCAACAGACCCACATCCCCCAGCAGAGGTTCGGATTTCAGAGCAGGTCGCTGCAGCTCTACACTCATCACACCAAGACACTGAATATAGCGGCTCAGGTTACTGCCGTCAATGATAGGTTCCCTATTGTCTCTCTCCCTCCCTCTCTCCCTCTCTCTCTCTCTCTCTTTCTCTCTCTCTGGACACCTAGCTTCAACATCCAGGCCTCCGTCTAACCACCTCCATTTAAAGGGATACTACTTTGAAGTGGGGTCGTTTTAGGTTCTAATGTATGGCCAGTAGATGGTGGTCAGCACGCCCTAAACTCAGAGACGGGACAGGAGTACCAGCACAGGAGCAAAGCAGTACATTGCTGTGGATGAGGCATACTTATTTTAGCCAACTAAAATAAACCACATCTAAAATAAAGTGTTTATCAAATTGAAAATATTTTCTCTGCTTTATCTTGCCATCAGACTCTGCTAACAAAAGCAGTAATTTTACCTCGGGGTTGGTGCTCTACTGCTGCCTCGAGGTAAATTACTGCTCTTGTCAAAGCAGTAAGGTGGTTTTGAAGAGAGCATAGCTAATGGTTCCACAAAAGGCTGCCTGATGGCAAGGTAAAGCACTTTGAATGGCTAAAATAGGTTTTGCTGTGCACAGCACTTTTTTGATTTACTTGCTTGCCGTTTGTTTCTTCAAACTGGGTGTGTGCCGACCGCCATCTACTGTGACTAAGAAAGAGTACCTCATACAACCGCAGTTCAAATGATCTTTTAATTATTTTAAGAGCAACAATTAGGAGACATCTCTGCGGTGCTTTGAGCAATTAGTAAAATAATGATGAAACTGTTAATCGTCCTGGAAATGGCCTCATATGAAGGTGGTAGTTGTATAACTTATTCATAGCATGGCAGTCTTCACCTTGTTTTCAGAGTACAGGCCGTGTGCTACTGCTTACCATTGTTACTGAATACAAGATACTGTTTGTATTGAAATGTTCCTAATTTAAAAATCCAAGCACTGGATTACATTGTTTCCTCTTCAAGCCTTTGCTAACTATAATAAAGCTAAACGACAGTGTTATGCACACAATTACCAAATTAATGTAAGCCACCTTTAAAGCTGTAGCTTTATAATAATTTCTTGCTAAAATAAGATATTATGCATTAATCAAACTCAATATTATGGTAGAAGTAGTATTATTGACTGTGAGGTTGAAGGTGTTATTGAAACTCACCATATTGGATAAATAACTAGTCGTGTGATGAAGAATGCCACACTGAACACAATGAACAGGAAGTCACACAGGCGCTGGTACTTGGCATAGTTGGCCAGCTTGGCTAGCTGTAGAAAAACAAATGACAGAAGCAACAGTTAATGATATGTTTAATGAAGAGCGTTGTTTTGTTTCATTACCACATATCAACACTGTTTGATTCCTGGGTTCATACAACTAGTCTGTTTGGTTTGCAGCCAAGAGGAAGTGAACTAACAATAACTATTCATCTCCATCGTTTAAAAGAAAACTGACTTGAAACAAAAACTGGAGAATATACTAATAAGAAATGACTGTTGTACATGTAGAAGTGTAGGCTTCACAATACCTGTATAACAAGCAGTAACATGTTTTTATATCTTCCTCATCTTTCCTTTATATGTTTAGTATTGGTGTATCAGCATGTTGGCAATAACTTCTCTTCAATATCAGAAATGAACTGTAAACAGATGGCAAAACACCGTTTTTAAATCACAGTATATTCTCAGTCATGCAAATAAAAAGTAAGTATAAGGTATGAGAGGAGAGGATTATTCAGGTTAGTTGAAAAAAAACTGAATTGGTGTTTAACTTGAATATAAGTGTGTGATCACCACCGTGTCTGACTGACCTCTAGCAGGAAGTCGGAGGCGTCGTGTACGCACATCACGAGACTCCCTACTCGCGTCATGTTGTTGACGTAAGAAAAGCTGATCAGACCAATCGTCGCCAGGTGATGGATGAACATTATCATGAAGTCCTGAAGTCAAAGGGAGAGAGGGATGGTTACATATGTGTACACCAAATGTTAACTTGTTTTAAGTGTCTTTTTAACACAATTACCACTTTTTTGTTTCATTTGAATCATTGTTTGCCATAAAGTCATCGTATAATATGTAATAAAAAACTGCCATTAAAAAAAGAATAGTGTAGTACTCCATACATTCTTAATATCACTGAAAAGTCATATTATAGTATGCCATAAAAAATCATAGTATAGTATGCCATACAAGTCATACAGTAGTATAGTTTGTAATATGAATGCATACAAAAATCACAGGATATTAGGCTAAAAGCTAAATATCAGAAAGAATTTGCCAAGCATTTAGACGGCTCGATATAATTAGTTTTTCAAATAAACAAACAAAAGCCTGATGTACGACCAAAGCAGGAGAAAGGAAGGATCACATTCTGTAGCAGCATGTTATGTGCTCATTATGTTCTGAATGCAATCAACATGGTCTCTTTACTCTTTTTCCCCCTGTAGAGTAAATGTGCATGTGAATGGTCTGCAAAGGCTAAACTACGCTGCCATTGGACTCTTTTGTTCACTTCCGTGAAAGTGACATCACTACATAACACTCACAAGTCTATTGGCTAGCGCTCCAAC